GAAGACAGCGGCTTAACCAACTGAGCCACCCAGGCATCCCTGATTCTCTTTTTCTTATGTCTCCCTAATCCACTTTTAAAGAATCCTTATGATTACATTGGGCTAACCTGGACACTAGGCTAATCTCCTGTTTGAAGGAGCCATTAACTTAATCCTGTGGGCAAAGTCCCTTTTGCCACATAAAGTATCATATTCATAGGTTCTGGAGATTGGGATATAAAATCCTGGGAAGGGGGTGCTAGTCTGCTTACCACAAAAGCTTATATTTAAAGTCCCATTCTCTGACCACTACCTCCTGTCTCTCTGCTGCATCCCCCTCATCCTCTGATTCTACAATCCTTATGGGATCTTCACTTCATTGAGTCTACACTTCTTCACTGTCTCCCATTTCCTCAAACTCCCCTCTTCCCTTCTTATCAAAATAAATTCCATGGGTTATCATCACAGTCCCTCCTTTACGCACATCCCCTACTCCCTTGCCCATCTATCGTCCTACTTACTTGGTGAAAACCCAGCTCTGATGGCTCCAGGTCTCCCCCAATCTGTCTTTGTCTTTGTGTAGCTGAACATGACTGGAGGAAAACATAGCCTCGCTGACCAGCAAGTCAAGTCCATACCACAGATTTGACATGAGCTCTTGAGTCTGCCTGGTACCCACATGGGATTTTTCTGGTCCATTCTCTTTCCCACTTTCCTAGAAGACCCTCTCATGCCTTCTCCTGTCTTCTCAAACCTCATACATTTACTTCTTCATCCTCATTCTTTTTTTTTTCTTTTAAAGATTGTATTTATTTATTTGAGAGCGAAAGAGAGAGAGAGAAAGCACGAGTGGGGGGGGCAGAAGGAGAGGAACAAGCAGACTCCCTGTTGAGCAGAGAGCCTGACACAGGGCTCAATCCCAGGACCCTGGGATCATGATCTGAGCTGAGGCAGATGCTTAACTGTGTGAACCACCCAAGCGCCCCTCTCCATACTCATTCTTGGCTCATGGCTTAACTGTTTACTGAGAAATTCAAGACAAGCAGAAGAGAGCCCTGCAGATTCCCACATATCTCTCTACAGGTAAGCTTCTGTCCTCACACTGTACCTTCTTCCTAATGGATCTTTGGAGTTAACCCAGGACATCATGATCTTGCATGTAGAAATCAATCTTTATTTCTAATAACTCTTAACTGAAGTCTAGTCATTTTCTTCAACTGTGAATGTAGGTAGTAAACCACAGTAGCAGGGCCTATGCTTTTGTCATGAGACAGTTTTTGTATCTACTTCAGAATATTGTACACATATGTATCACTATTTTAAAATTATGGTAGTTATGGGGCACCTAGGTGGCCAGTCGTTAAGCATCTGCCTTCCACTCAGGTCATGATTCCAGGGTCCTGGGATCAAGCCCTGTGTCGGGCTCCCTGCTCAGCAGGAAGCCTGCTTCTCCCTCTTCCTCTGCTCCGGCTTGTGTTCCCTCTCTTGCTGTCTCTCTCTCTGTCAAATAAATATATAAAATCTTTTAAAAATAAAGAAAAGAAAATTATGGTGTTTATTAAGTACACTACTAGATATTATTTATAGCATTAATGTAGAAACACATGCATTAAAATATCACAGATTTTATTTTATTTGATTTTTTTAAAGATCTTATTTATTTATTTGACAGAGATCACAAGTAGGCAGAGAGGGTGGCAGAGAAACAGGAGAAAGCAGGCTCCCTGCTGAGCAGAGAGCCCTATTCCAGGCTCCATCCCAGGACCCTGGGATCATGACCTGAGCCGAAGGCAGAGGCTTAACCCACTGAGCCACCCAAGCACCCACAGATTTGATTTGAAAAATGATTTTATAATGGTGTTTCAAAATAATTGATTTTCTTTGTACTCCTTTTTATTTTATGAATTTGAAAACAATACTGAGGGGATGCCTAGCTGGCTCAGTTGGCAGAGCATGCGACTCTTGATCTCAGGGTTATGTGCTCAAGCCTCACATTGGGAATGCCGCACACATAAAATTAAAAAAATTAAAAATTAAATTAAATTAAATATAAAATAAATAAAACATAACATGAGAAGTAGTCATAGGTTTCAACTGTTAAAGGATACATGGCATAAGAGGGACTATGGGAAGGACCACCCATGCTGCTATCTAAAGCCAGTCCCTCCATTTGTGCATTAGAACCACTCTCCTTTGACCCAAGATGACAGACGTCCTCCTTTTACCCCTCTAGATCTATGCTCTGACTTCCTGCTTTGGACCACAGAGCTGATCTCTGTGAACAGCACTAGCCAGGTTTCCTCATATTCTGATTTCTCTTTCGGTTCAGATAGTAGGAAGCACCAGCAGGACATTAAAGTATAGGAGGAGGGAGAAACTGGAGTATTTACTTGTGATCCCTTCCCAGAGACTTGGGTTGGCAGAACCGTATTTCAGCTTCCGTTGGGCAACCCTTTCCTATCAAGGAAGTTCACATTCTGGATTCATATATAACTGCCCTGATTTTTCTCTTCCAGGGTATCCTCCTTCTGTGATGAGCATTTAATGATTCACCATTCTTTGAGGGCTTTCTATAAAGTCAGCTCACATCTCTGTGATAATCTCTTCAGTTTCCCTCTTTTGACTGTGTCATCTCCTTCCTGCCAGGACCCTGACTACTGTCCAGAAAATGGCCCCAGCATCTCTCATTTCTCTAAGTTCATTCCCATCAAGAAAGTCTTCTTTCAACCCAGTTTTCCTGATGGCTCCATTTCCTTGACTGCCAGACTCACTGTCTCCAGTGATCTCCTCTACTTCGCTCTACAGGAACACTCTGGTGGGCCTTTGCCTCCACCCCCCAAAGACTGCTCCTTAAGGTCACCAACAATCTTCCTGTTGCTGAAGCCAGTGGTTTTTCTTAGCACTCATCTTTGTAGATCTGCTGGCAGCATTTAATAGTTGATCACTTTCTCCTCCTTGATAGGTTTTCCATTAGGCTTCTAGGACCCCAAGGGATATTCCTTCTAATTTATCCTTTGCTCCTTCTCAGTCTTCTCTGCTAATCTTCCTCTTCCAGGTCTCAGTTCTTAGCCTTTTTTTTTTAATCTATACTCATTCCATTAGCAATTTTATTTATTTATTTATTTATTTATTTGACAGACAGATCACAAGTAGGCAGAGAGGCAGGCAGAGAGAGAGAGAGAGAGAGGGAAGCAGGCTCCCCGCCGAGCAGAGAGCCCGATTCGGGGCTTGACCCCAGCACTCTGGGATCATGACTTGAGCAGAAGGCAGAGGCTCCAACCCACTGAGCCACCCAGGTGCCCCTGCATTAGTAATTTAATAAGGAAGTCTCTATTTCTAACACATAGTGTACTAATTTATAATGGTTTATTATTGTTTCTCTCCTTGCCCCAGAACATAAACTCCCCAAGCCTGGGGATTTTTGTTCATTTGGTTCTTGACTGTTTCCTAAGTGTCCAGAACAGTGCCAGGCACAAACATTTTTTTTTAAATTTAACTGGATAGTAACCATTACCCCTCATATAAAAGGTAGCAACTATGACTTCTTCCTTCTATGAAAGCAAAGCCATAAAACAATAAGGAAAAAAAAGTTAATGAATAAACATATCAAGTTGTCTTGGGACTATGCATTCTAAATGTAAATACAGGGGACTGAAGCAAGGTCAGTAGGTATGACTGTAAATAAAATTTAGCTTTTAATAAAAATCATAAAAATCAAACTTCACATGAAATTATAACATATATATGACAGACATGAAATTATATATCTGATATATACTGACTTCTTATAAGTCAATAAAAGATTATATAAGTAAAAAATGGGTGAAAGACATGAAAAAATAATTCACAAAAGAAATAAAACTGATCAAAAATATATAAACCGACCATCAATCTCACTAGAAATTCAAACCATAATGAGATGTTGCTTTTGCCCATAAAAGAGAAAATTTTATTTTTTAAAAGCTGTACTATTTATTGTATTATTATTATTTTTTAAAGATTTTATTTATTTATTTGACAGACAGAGATCACTCATAGGCAGAGAAGCAGGCAGAGAGAGAGGGGGAAGCAGGCATCCTGCTGAGCAGAAAGCCCGATTTGGGGCTCGATCCCAGGACCCTGAGATCATGACCTGAGCCGAAGGCAGAGGCTTAACCCACTGAGCCACCCAGGCGCCCCTATTTTATTATTATTATTATTATTATTTTTTAATTTATTTGACAGATCACAAGTAGGCAGAGGCAGGCAGAGAGAGACAGGAGGAGGAGGCAGGCTCCCTGCTGAGCAGAGAGCCCGATGCGGGACTCGATCCCAGGACCCTGAGATCATGACCTGAGCCGAAGGCAGAGGCTTTAACCACTGAGCCACCCAGGCGCCCGTATTTTATTATTTTTTTAAGTAAACTCCGTCCCCCCCCCAAAACGTGGTGCTTAAACTCATCATGCCAAGATGAAGAGTTGCATGTTCTTCTGACTGTGCCAGCCAGGGGCCCTAAGAAAATTCCATTTTAATTAATATCTGAGCCAGTAATTCTACTTCAAGGACCCTATCCCCAATAATTAGAGAGCTGTACAAATATGTACGTTCAAGGACATTTATTGCAGCAATATTTTTGAAAGCAACTTTAAATTCCCACAGTAGAGACAGGCTTAAATAAAGTATGGAAGAATTATACCATGGAATATTTTACAGCTGTTCAAAATTATGTTTTTGCAGAATACTTAATGATCCAGAAAATGCTTAAGCCATAAAATTCAAAGTTAAAAAACTCAGATATAAAACTGTACATGGAGCCGGATTCCAAAATTTCAAGTACAAATACATATAGATACATATATACATATACCACAAATTGAAAAATAACTAAAAGAAAAATATATAAATGTTAATGTTTGTTATTTTTATGCAGTGGGATTATGAGAGATTTTATTTTCTCATTTAAAGTTTTCTATATTTTCCAATTTTCCCAAAATTATCAGGGATTGCTTTTCACATTTAGAAAATAAATAAATGCTATTAATAATAATATAAAAGTGAGATCAGAGGGGTTCCAAAAGATACAAATGTAAACAGTGAGTGTCCTTTTTTGTTGTTTTATAAATGGCTAAATCGTCCAGCTAAGAAGTTTTTATTTCCGGTAGAAGTAGTACTTGTGTTTTTTCCTTGACTGGGTTTGGATAGCGGATCCACTGCAACGTACTTGATTTGGAAACCTCCCGCAGTCACTGAAGCATCGCTGAGAAACTTCAAGGTCATGACATTTCCTGGGGAGGAGGGGGAGTGCAAAAGAACAAAGATGTTACTCTGCTTTGATTTGGCTGGCAGTCCAGAGACTCATCATTCTTAGAGGAGAATATAAAAATTCATGAACCAGGGACACGTGGGTGGGCCAGTCGGTTAAGCGACTGCCTTTGGCTCAGGTCATGATCCCAGGGTCCTGGGATGGAGCTCCGCATGGAGCTCCCCGCTTGGCGGGGATCCTGCTTCTCCCTTTCTCCCTCCCCTGCTTGTGTCCCCTCTCTGGCTATATCTCTCTCTGTCAAATAAATAAATAAAATATTAAAAAAAAAATTCTCCAGTGAAATGTTGAATAGTACAAGAAAAGAAAATCAGAAACAATCATCTTTAGGATGTTAAATATTCGTACATGATAAATTATGGTACATCCATACAGGGACCTAGTAGGCAGTCGTTAGAACGAATTTGAGGGGCGCCTGGGTGGCTCAGTGGGTTGAGCCTCTGCCTTCGGCTCTGGTCATGGTCTCGGGGTCCTGGGATTGGGCCCGCATAGGGCTCTCTGCTCAGCAGGAAGCCTGCTTCCTCCTTTCTCTGCCTGCCTCTCTGCCTACTTGTTATCTCTCTCTCTCTCTCTGTGTCAAATAAATAAATGAAATCTTAAAAAAAAACAACAACAAATTTGAATGATCTACATACTGTATGCTGACTTGGAAATATATCCATGATATCTGTGTATACCATGTTTATAAAATACAGGGAAACACCTGGAAGGATAATCACTACACAATCATCCAATGCCCTTCTTGGGTGGGCAGAGATGGGGTGGTTATATTCTTACTTTATATACCATTTATTAAAGTGGTATAGTTTCTGGGTAGTTTTTAGTTCATTCATTTTCTGGTCTTGTTTTTAATATAAATATCCTGGGGTGAGTAAGCACATATTTAAGACGAAAACTAGACCAAAATGTTAACAGCATTAAACTTGACTGGTAAGATTATACTTCAAATGTATTTTAAATCTTTTTCTATTTCTTGATATCAATTTCCTCCTCTTGCTTTTTTGCTAAATCTTTGGCTGTTTGTTTAATTGTGTTCTCTTCTGTGTGTTGATTTGTTTCTCTTTGAATGATAAACGGTGTGGGTTTTTTTTTTTTCTTGCAGTAGTGTTAAAAAAACAACACTGTTTTGATTATGCTAGCAGTTAAGTTTTTTCTGTTTTAGACAAAACAAGAAAAAAATGTGAAGTTTCAGGCTTTGATTCTCTGTTTCTTTCTTTCTTTTTTTTTTTTTAAATTGGATTCTTATCCCCCAACTAACTCCTATGGATGGCTCCTATCTACTTTTAACTTTCTGTTAACATAAAATACGTTCTCAAGAAAAGAATGAGGTAAACAGTTTAATGGGCTGCCCTTACCAGGGAGATTGTAACAGAGAATGAATGAATAATTTTTAAGCATTAATCATTCAAGGATTGAATAAGAAGTTTTATTTCTTGTAATATTGACGCATAAATGAGAATTTCATGAGAATTTCGTGCCTTCAGGCTAGGGTTTAGGAGTAATTTAGCTGGTAGTATCTGAGCTTAAGGACTACTTAGAAATTACAATTCTGTGTTATTTTGTTGTTTTTAGTTGCAGAAACACTGTGATAACTTTATGACTTGGAGGAAAAAAAGAGCAAGTCAGAATGCCAACTACTAGTGCTAAGGATGGAAATAAAAAGAAAACAACAAAGAAAGTGAAGGTTCTTAGCCAGAAAATAGCAGTATGGAGCAATGGCAGTGGCATTTCTTCTGGATATAGATATATATGACTACAAGCTCATTGCTTGAGGTACATTGCATGGGACAAAGTCACAAAAGTAATTGGTAGGAGTTAAAAAGATTTGGAACACTTTGCCAACCATAGCTAGCCTTTTGAGATTTACTATGCATAATTAGCATATTAAAAGCTCTCTGACATCTTCCAATAAAGAGACCTGTTTAACATAGTTTAAACCAATGTTTCCCCAGTTCCCTTGGCCTTAATGTTCTTTTCTCATGCAACACCTATTAAAAATATTTCATAGAGCTGCTCTTTACAACACTGTGGGGAATGCTGTCCAAAGATAAAAATACAGTTAAGTGTGATGTAACATTTTTTCAGTGACCGAAGATATTTTTAACAACTTTAATACTTTTGAAAATACCTTTCAATCCTTTATTGATAAAAAACTGGTCTTTTATTTCCACATTTTATGGACGTCATAACCCATAGCAAAATTCAGGGATTTGCAGACTCAAGACCATCTCAGACTGCATTCCTTCATCTTATGAGTCTACGCATTTTTGGTGTAAGGGGTTGGCGTTAAGTCCTAAGTATAAACACTTCGTTTTGCAAACTGGTAAGCTACATCTGACCCAATGGTTCTCTTAACTTTAAAAAGTTAATAGTAATGACTACTGGGTTCTTCACTTTCAGTGACACTATGGAAAAACAAATCATAGTCCTATGTCTCAATTTAGAGCCATTACCTGTGCTAACGATGTCTTCTGGAAGTTCATCTCCACAGTATCTGAAAGGAAATTTTTAAAAAAGAGAAGTCACACAGAAGAATATTACACGGTTATTAAGTGGCTCTAACCTGTAATTAAAGTGCTTTATTTTTCCTAAGTAATGTCTCGTTTTCCTATTATTTAAAACTTTTTATTTTTTTTTTAACTTGAATTTGTAAGGGAGAAGAAGGATTAAAACAAAGTTTGTTGTTTCAAATAACCTGAGAATATAACCGAGATTCTTAAAAAAGGACATGTGGCATTTCTACTGTGTGTACTTGCAAAATTATTTGTGTAGTAGACAATTTTAATCTCTCTGGAAAAATTTTAAATTTGATTCTGATTAATCCTATGAAGTTTCTTCATGGTTAAAGAGGAATATGTGTATGGCTGATGGTATTACTAATTTGAATTCTAGAGTAGACTGATTTGAATGTGGAAAATTATGTTGGACCTTACAAGAGGGACTGTTGTTTTTTTTTTTAAAGATTTTATTTATTTATTTGACAGACAGAGATCACAAGTAGGCAGAGAGGCAGGCAGAGAGAGAGGGGGAAGCAGGTTCCCTGCTGAGTAGAGAGCTCGATGTGGGGCTCGATCCCAGGACCCCGGGATCATTACCAGAGCCGAAGGCAGAGGCCTAACCCACTGAGCCACCCAGGCACCCCAGAGGGACTGGTTTTTATCTGAATCGACTTGAAAGGAGCTTCTTTGTACATTACCTAAAAGGAAAGAATTTATCATAAAAATCCGATAAGTGACAAATTAGTCTATGGAAAACCTTTTAAAAAAACAGTATATGATTTTATCTAGGGCTGTAATTGATTTGTGAAACTAGGTTTAGAATGAAAATATCATCTTGACTCTCAAGGTAGGATGTCCGTTCTTTCAACAAATGTTTTGCTCTTAATTTCTCCAACCCTGCTTCATCTATAGCAGTAGTCTGTCAGCTAAAAAGCAGAATAAAACAAAACAAAACCAATTTCCCTCCAAAAGTTGTTACTCGTGTATGCAAGAAATGCGTTTCTTTTTCTTGGTGTTTAAGTTACACATTTCAAAGTCACAACAAACTACTGAGTCTGTCATTTTTAATTATTTTAATAATTTTAATCATTACCATTTTCTTTTATTAAATTACTGTCATGGATAATGGAAAATTGATAACTGATAGTCTGTTGATACTGGATAGTCTCAGATACACGTTATTAAGTGGGGGGCTAAATAAATAAAACACATAATTATATACGCTTTGATTTGTAATATTTTGTGAGACATTCAAAGTTTAAACTATATTGAAGATTCAGAATGACAACACAGAATGTTGTGTCCCAGGATGTTGAAAACCCAAGGGAGAAATATTGAGGAAAGGAGCACTTGTTTTTTATGTCAAAGAAAGCTATTTTAAAGAAAATTTCCACTGTACGTTTAGGTAAATTTTGTGAGAGAAGGGGCTATACTTTGCTTAATTCTTTCCTTCCTTTTTTTTTTTTTTAGATTTTATTTATTTATTTGACAGAGAGAGATCATAAGTAGGCAGAGAAGCAGGCAGAGAGAGAGGGGGAAGCAGGCTCACCACTGAGCAGAGAGCCTGATGTGGGGCTTGATCTCAGGACCCCGGGATCATGACTTGAGCCGAAGACAGAGGCTTTAACCCACTGAGCCACCCAGGCACTCCTATACTTTGCTTAATTCTTATATTCATAATGCTTAGCACAATACTTTGTACACAGAAGGTAGATAATAATTAAGAATTTATAATTATTTTTAGGAGGTTGATAGAAATTAGAATACTTAAAACCCTCCAACAAATTTCTCAATTCACATGTGTCCTCTTCCTCTCATTGTTAATGAAATACTCAGGTCTTTTTATTTTTTTTTATTTGTTTGAAAAGTTTTATTTATTTAAGTAATTTCTATACCCCACATGGGGCTTGAACTTACGACCCCAAGATCAAGAGTCACACACTCTTCTGACTGAGCCAACCAGGCACCCTGAAGTCTTTTTTTTTTATTATTATTATTTTAAAGATTTTATTTATTTATTTGACACAGAGAGATCACAAGTAGGCAGAGAGGCAGGCAGAGAGAGAGAGGAGGAAACAGGCTCCCCGCTGAGCAGAGAGCCTGATGTGGGGCTCGATCCCAGGATCCTCAGATCATGACCCAAGCCACAGGCAGAGGTTTTAACCCACTGAGCCACCCAGGCACCCCCAGCCCTGAATAGACTATTTAAATTTTTAAATAGACTATTTAATTCTTACAACTTAATAGTAATCAAAAGGCAGCTGTCACTATTTTAATTATAAGAACATGTAGCAGCTGACTGGCTTCACATACTAAGAAAAATCTTTGGGGTTGCCTGGGTGGCTCAGTGGGTTAAGCCTCTGCCTTTAGCTCAGGTCATGATCTCAGGGTCCTCGGATCGAGTCCCACATCGGGCTCTCTGCTAGGCAGGGAGCCTGCTTCCTCCTCTCTCTCTCTCTACTTGTGATCTCTCTCTGTCAAATAAATAAAATCTTAAAAAAAAAAAAAAAAGAAAAAGAAAAATCTTTGCTAAAAAAGGATATGGTATTGCCAGGGAGTAAAAATACTAGAGAATCAATAACTGTGGGGAACACTGAAGAAAATTAAAGAAACATCAAACAAGATATTGAAGGTATTTTTAACTCTTTATATGGGGAAACACGTACCTTCCCACAAAACCATGGACATCATCGTAACTGTCATATATTTCAACATAGTCAGCCAAGCAAGCTGGGTCATCTTCAAGGTCAAAGTCCAAAAAGCTCAGGTGAATACGCTGACCATACTTGAGTCTAATGTGCCAGTAACAGATCTGGTTATCATCGTACTCATTTGGGAAGCCTGGAGATTTAAAAATTCTCTTTGGATCTGTAAAGACACCACCACACTCCTTTGCTAAAATGGATAAAACAAATAAACAAACAAAAAAAACAAAAAAGGAAGGAAAGCATTAGAAAAAATATTATCCGTATTTTAAAATGATATGCACTTCCTAGTGCCTATTTATTACTTTTAATAAAATATTAAATATATATACTTACAGCTAAAGAATAAATGAATATTTTTCCATTATTCATTGGTAAATTCTTTCAAAGGAATATACACTGAATTTGTATGAAATGAAAAGAAAAATGACAAGAAAAAATAGCAATTTAGTTAATTGTGCTCTTGTACTTTTTTTGTATTTTATCTTTTCAGCTTAGAAGCACAAGCCTCAGGCTGGCTCGGGGAGCGTGCAACTCTTGATCTTGGGGTTGTGGGTTCAAGCCCCATGTTGGCTGCAGAGATTACTTAAAAATAAAATATTTTTTTTTTAAAGAATGTACAAGTCTCAGATGTATATGTTCATGTATTTTGATGAATATGTATACGCCGTTACCAACAGCCCAATCAAGATGGCTGCAATTTTGTCCTGTGGTATCAACACTGTGTCTTCAGGGACTTTTTAGAATAATGAGTCCAGGGGTGCCTGGGTGGCTCAGTGGGTTAAGGCCTCTGCTTTCAGCTCGGGTTGTGATCCCAGGGTCCTGGGATCAAGCCCCGCATGGGGCTCTCTGCTCAGTGGGGAGCCTGCTTCCTCCTCTCTCTGCCTGCTTCTCTGCCTACTTGTGATCTCTGTCTGTCAAATAAATAAATAAAATCTTAAAAAAAAAAAGAATAATGAGTCCAATAAATTCTGTTTGGAAAATCCTTATAGAATTTCAGAGTCACAAGAGACCTTGAAGGTCACTCTAGTCCAGTTAAAAGGAATAATTTATTATCATTTTATACTCCTTTCACTGGCTTTAAACTAACACCTTAATCCTAATATTTGAGGATTTGACAGAGATATTCTTGTTTGTTTTTTCAAGTCATTTATTATTTTACAGATTTCTGCCATGCCTTATAACCTGGAATGAGAACAATCAAACAACCTCTGCCAGAACCCATGATTTTACTGGGTGACCTGGAACGAAAGGTATGGAAAACTCCTGGTTAATTTTGATTTTGGATCAAATAAGCATCTACCATCTGGAAACTCAAAAATAATGTGAATGGTGGTGGTGGTGACTGTGGGTAGCATTCCAAGACATTTTTCATTGTATCAATCAGAGGCTTTTTCCAAGAATATTATCCTTTGGAAAAGAGCCTTTAAAAAAAAAAAAATGTTAGAATTCTTAATATCACAGAAGGTAAGGAAGCTTATCTCCCCCAGGGCCAAACAGGATCTTAGGGAAAGTGACAAAAGAAGGTCAAGGAATCTAGTCTGATCTCTGTACCACTCAATACTTCATTTTCTTCCCTGGTAAAGTAAATATAACCATGCCTCTCCTATTACCTACTTCACAACATTATTCTAAGGATAGTAACATGGAAGATAACTTCAGGGTGTTATGTAAAATGTAAGCTGTTCTTATTGTCTTATTCAATACTACGTGACAGTTTGTATGTGTACATAGCATGTGCAATGCCAGTTTTTGGAGTGATTTGCTCTGTCCTATGCCATCCTATCTTTGTTGTTTATACCATTAGATTAGGAAACAGTTCAAATATTGAACAATTTGATTTAGCTATTCAATTTCTATTTAGCTATTCAGCTCTATATTTTATTGAGCAATTGATAGTCATTGGTTTATTTTTATGATACCATTATGATTTCTTCATTACAATTATTTTTCATTGAACTGTTCCTCTGCCAGTACTAGTTCAGGTGGTCCCCAGTCCCCTTCAGGTTCACCACATCCTAAAAAATCAGCATGTCACTGAATCCAAAAGTAAGCTGAGAGCAGAGTAAGAAGAAGTCTCCCAAGATTCTGTACAAATATTCCCAGAGTAAAAAGGATTCTGCCTCGATGAAAGACAAAAGCAATTTATAAAAATTTTTAAGTTAAGGTGGCATCCTTATAAAAAGGCAAGGAAATACTGTAAGAACCTCTCTACTAGCACTTCTTTATCTCCCCTAGAGATAAATTTCCCCTATGGAAATGATTGAATAGATGCTCAGAGATCCTAAACCTTATCAAGCAAAGGAAGAATCAGAGAACATACTTGGAAATAGAAGTGTCTCTTTAGAGTCAAAAGAAAGTTGCTTGTGTAAATATACCGATGAAAAAGGAAGAGAGGAAGAGGGAAGAAAAGAAGATATACGAACTATTAACAATAACTAAATATAGAATTAAATATAACATAAGGTTTAAGTATGTGAAAATGATTTGAAAATTATAGCCCTATATAAATGCACTACACATATTTATTCATATTTTTGTCTTAAGTGGGAATACATGATGGCTCTAGGCAAAATTCTTTTCTATGTACAATACACATTATTTTGAGATAAAGCTTAGTTACAAACATGAGAAACTATTCTCCAATGATTAATATCATTGAATAATAAATTCCATAGTAACATGCTAGAACTTCACTATAACTCACTGTATCTTCACTATAGGGACTTTCTTATAAGGCAGATTGAAACAGAACACCTGAGGATGCTTGTGATCATAAACATTAGGCAGACTTGGGAACATATTATAATTCTTCGTAGTATCATGCTGGGGGAAATCCATCCAAAAAAGAACAATCTATTTTTTTTCTAAAAACATGAACAAAAAATAGCTCTTTATAGTAGTTATGTTGAATTAATTTTCTCTTTAAAGTTTTCCTAGCTACAATCAACCATGGGAAAATACGAATAAAAATATACTATATAAAAATAACTAACTAGAATATCCAGCATGTAATTGTGAAAACAAACCACAGAGTGAGAGTTGCTCAGTTTGGAAGTTTAAGAATTTATGCACAAGAATATCAGGGGAAGAGTTTCTTTTGTCTCTTTCTTCCCCCATTCTATCAAAGGGGAAATTTTGAACAGTTAACATTTGGTAGTATCACTTTGTTGTTTTAGCTAATTAACTGTGACAAGTCTATAACCCACTTTTTTTTTTTTTTTTTTTTTTTTTGCCTTTGTGGTCGGGAATAGAAAAAGATGTGGCATAGAAAAGATCTGAATCCGAGATCCTGCCTGCCTGCTGACTATTGGATGTTTGATTTTGGTAAGTTATTAAGCTCTTCGACTTTCAATGTCCTGATTTCTAAAATGGGTATAACAATAGCTTCTTGCAGACTCATCATGAATACGGACAGCGTGGAAGAGGAGCAGCAGGCAGGGTCTGGCCCAGCGTAACGGTTCCGTGAATGGTTGTTGTTATTAAGAATTATCATCACCAAGTTGATTTATCTCTGGGAGAAGGAGCTATTTATATTTAGTAACCTCTTAGTAACATGTAACTGTTTTGGCAAAGTATAAAATTATTATTTGTAACAAACCTTGTGGGTTGTAGCAATAGGCATCCCATCTTTCACTCCTATTAAGACGGACTCCGTAATCAATAATCCCAGTTTTTCCAAATCCACAGTTGGGCCCTGGTTTCACAATGGGGTATCCAACTCTGCCCTTGGCCATCCACCCAGCAGCACAGACATGAAATCCTGCAAGAGAAGGAAAGGATTATGGGCTAACTGGTAAACCCCCTCAGCTGAGTGAAGGTCCTCTTAACAAAAGTAGCCCCTTCTCAACTGCCCAAAGCCAGGTAAGTACAAGGAGAGAAACCATTTTCTTTTCTCTTCTTTTCATTTTTTTGAAAAATGCTATTCTTAAAAAATAAAGTTTGAATACATATAAAATGTAACATCCGACTTTTACTAGAAAATGCCGTCCTACTTGAAAAAAAAGAGGCAGTTGGACTGGAAATAATAATACCACGAATATGAAAAATCCAAGTTCACAGCTGGCTTCTTTTCACAAATGACCTATTGAGTGCCATGAAATAATTTCTGAAATTACCATTGATCCTGGAAAACAATTTTTTTTCAAATGATAATTTAAGTAGTTTCTATTTCAGGATCAATTAAAATTTGCTAATATTTTAAGAAATTTGAATAGGGATAAACATATTCATAAATTTTGAACAAAGCCTCAGCCCTGTGTTCCTTGCCCAGCTTCAGATCCTAAGTATTTGACACTGCCGTCCAAGAGCGGTTTTACTGAAGGTCCAGGACAGCCAGTAATGGCCCTGGTCTTTGTACCCATGGTTCCAGGTACTGCGTCATGCACAGCCCTGTGGGTCTAGACTGAGCAATGTGCCGGGCAGACTTTAGGGATTTTTAGAGAACAGTTTTATTTTTATCCTGAGTAATATTTAATGGTAACATAAGCTTTGCTATTGTCTTTTTTTTTTTTTTTTTAATCAACAAAGGGGTTTCTTCAATGGAGAAGAGAGTTCTGAATGGGGGTGGCTTTTGGATTCTCCTGTAAAACCACCATGAGAGATAGTCGTGGTGCTTTTTTTTTTTTTTTTTAAGAAGGCACTAGCACGGGCGCCTGGGTGGCTCAGTGGTTAAAGCTCAGGTCATGATCTCAGGGTCCTGGGATGGAGACCTGCATCGGGCTGTCTGCTCAGCAGGGAGCCTGCTTCCTCCTCTCTCTGCCTGCCTCTCTGCCTACTTGTGATCTCTGTCTGTCAAATAAATAAAATCTTAAAAAAAAAAAAAGGCACTAGCACTAGTGAATCACTTTGTTTGCACCAGGTCTCCTGACATGATCTCAGTTTCTTTTTCCTACCATCTTACAAGCTGCTTATCTTCCTTTTGATCCTAAAGTACGAATGCATTCTCCCATTTAACTTAAAGAAATTGAGAAACAGGGGTACCTGGGTGGCACCGTTGGTTAAGTGTCTGACTCTTGGTTTCAGTTGGGGTTGTGATCTCAGGGTTGTGAGATGGTGACCTGCCTGGGTCTCTGTGCTCAGAGTGGAGCCTTCTTGGAATACTCTCTCTCCCTCTCCCTCCCTCTCCCTCTTCTGCCCCTCCCTCACCTCCCCTGCACAGGGGCACTCGAGCATGTGCACATTCTCTCTCTCTCTCTCAAATAAATAAATAAATCTTTAAAAAAACATATTTTGAAAAAAAGCCACTAAATTCAGTATTTCTTCTACAAAGAAAATTTCTTTATAAAACTCAACATAATAACATTTAACAGCTGAGGAAACCCATACTCAGAAGTTAAGAAAAGATAGAACAGTATGAAAAATGAATAGAAGTGGCATTAAAATTAATGAGGAATTGAAATGATGTTGAGATAGCAATGTCTTTGTTTTTTTACTTCTATTATAGTAGCTCACAGTGGGTTGTGACCCCAAATAAGTTGCTAGCACTAAGACCTTTCCACTGGCTCTAGGCAGAGAAGATGGAGAAGCCAGAGAGTAGACATGTCATAGGGGCTTAGAGAAGCATTGGAAGGATTGAGAGAGAAATCTTATGAAGGGGATATAGAAAAGGTGGAGGGTTTTTTTTTTTTTTTCCCCCAAAGGTGAAAAAGAAGAAAAATCATCGTCAAATTAGTTACCAATTTTTCTGGCTGCCTCTACTTGCTTGTAGGTGGCGAGTTGGCCGCCTTCATATTCGCACACTGCCTTGGCTTCTGCGTAGGTGAGCTTGTACTTGCCAGCCCGCGCTTCTCTGTGGTACACACCTGCTGCTTGTTCTGTGAATTCACACAATGTTGTAAGTATGCTGTGATTCCTTCTTGTGGAACAAGGGAAATTTTGTGGCCTCATCTAGAAGATTGCATCAGCTATTGTTCCTGCCAAGGAGTTTCCCGGGTCAGTGACCTAGGGTGGCTAAGTTTTCATTGTTAGAAAGCTTTGAAAAAAAATATGAATGAGGGGAATTTTAGGGGACATAGGAGAAACTTGAGGCTAAATTATGTGTCCTGAACTGATGGCCTGAAAGAAACCTGTAAGGCAACTTTGTATTTCCGCACTATCAAAAAGTGACAAAGTTTTGACTTTTTTTTGGCTTTCTTTTAAATCAAATAAAAACTTGGAAAGGTAAACAATGGGGGGAGGGAATGAAAATGAAGGCAAAAGAAACCAATGAAAATTGATCCATTATGCAGGCTCACAATGATGGAGAAAAATAATCTAAAATATCCGTTTGAGGCAAATGACTAATGCAGTGTGATTGAGAATTTAGTAAACAATCAAAAACTGAGGAAAGGTTTAAAGAATCCAAAGAAAATAAAGACTGCATTAAGGGGGGAAAAAAAGATTCAAACACAGTCGAGAAAAAATTGGGTACACCGAACTACCAGCATGTTGTTCCCAGCATATTTTAGGGAGTAAGTCATAAGCAAATTGTCTTCCAGTAGATCACTGTTTAAATTGTTTTGAGTTTGGAGTGCATTTTGCCATAGAAACAATGCGACAATTTTTCTAGGACAATAATCATAACATTAGCTCTCATTGTTCTGTGTAGACCTTCAGATTATTGTCAAGTCTTTGTACCCTAACCTGTACAATCAGCTACCATTAAGATCATTTCCAATGAGACCACATATTCCTTGGCATTCAGCAAGACGTGAATCCAGTAGTAGTGCTCCCTCTCCTCCCCAGGCTAAAGCTGACACCCCCACAGCTGAATAAGAGATGCTGCTTGCCACCTGCCCTGTTTCTCTGGACTGCAAGGGATCCTGTTCTTATACGTTATATGGTAACATCCCATCACTTATGCGCTGAAGACCTTAGTCAATCTGATGCTCATAGGTCAGGGAACACAAGGAACATCAACGTTATCTTCCTGTTTGAAAGTCGCCTACTGCCCAAGTGTCCTTCATATTGGTAAAACCTCATCAACTAAAGTTCCGCTGGTTTCCAATTTGTTTATTTTGAGAACATACCATGAGGTCTGCTAAGTGCTGTGGGTCAAGTCCACTTCTCAGGGCAACTCAGACACTAGTGGGCAATGGAAGTACTTTTATTTTGCAGTATAAGAGTACTAAGGCTTTTAGTAGAGAAGGGAGACATGTTGAATTTACTTATGGATCATATTAGAGATTACCAAATATGTTTAAAATTGTACCTATTCCCTGACAATACAGACTACAAGATCTTTATTAGTAGGAATTATTTTAATGTGTGCAAATGTTTCTCAAACTAAGATTTCCTTGTCTTTCACTCCCTAATCAAAATATGACATTCATAGAGAAAAAATTAATTAACAGAGCAGTTTTTGAAAAATAATTTTAAGTTTTCCTCCCAGTAATTTTTCTTAAATTTTTGGTAGCTAGAACTCATCTAGTAATGAGATGGTTGGTAACTTAAATGGTAGAAAAGTCTATGCTATCATTTAAAATTCATTAAATAATGTTAATATTCTACATTTTTCCTGAAAGAGTGACAAACTTCCTATTATTTTGCCTTATGAGTGGTTGAGAACTCTGGTACCTATTTGACAATTTTTTTTTTTTTTTAAAGATTTTACTTATTTATTTGACAGACAGAGATCACAAGTAGGCAGAGAGGCAGGCAGAGAGAGAGGTGGAAGCAGGCTCTCTGATGAGCAGAGAGCCCGATGCGGGGCTCGATCCCAGGACCCTGGGATCATGACCTGAGCCGAAGGCAGAGGCTTTAACCCACTGAGCCACCCAGGCGCCCCCCTATTTGACAATTTTAAGCACACATTTATTTGAAAGCATTGCTCAATTCAGAATTTTAAATTACGAAGATGGTCCTTTGTACCTAATTTTAAAAGTTTTACCTTTCAGAAGGAATAATAATTTATTCATTTTTAGAGTCCCTAGTCATTCATTAAAACTGAGTATTTAACCACTACTTTTTTTTCTGTTAGCATGGGACAACAGTAGCATGTTGGCTCCAGTCTCTCCTCCTGGTTCTTCACTGGATGAGTTGTGTAACCTTGTACAAATTACTGCCTACACCTCAGTGTCTTCTTCTATTTCAAGACGGGAATAATGTTGGCTATTCTGGGAATAAATAAATCATTAAAACCCAGAAGCATAACTTCTGGATCCTAGTAGGAGCTCATGATAGTGTCACATGTCCTTCTTTTTTAGATTCAATACAATGGCTGAAAACAATCGCTTATCTGTGCAGTTTTGATTTTCATCATCTATTTAAATTAGTTGATGTGTCTTATCTTTATATTACAAAAATTACTATTTGAGGAATAGTAATTACTGTTGGGGTCTGGAACTGGACCTGGAAGTTACCAGAGTTAAAAATGAAACTTAGAGGTCCCATACTTTGACCTTCTCATTTTACTACTAGTGGAACTGAGACCAAGTTTGAAGCGCCTTGTTTGTGATAGCTGCTAACAGATTCCTGCCTTCCTATCTGGCTCTCTTCCTTCTCTAAATAGTTTTTAATACCATATTGACCTAACCAACTGTAAACAATTTGTGTTAGGCTGACTGGTCAATAATTTGTCCCAGATTGAAGCAATGTGCAATTACCCCGAGCCTCAGATTTGCAGCATACTATTAACATTTGGGTGTGCTTCTCTCTACCTCTAGGACAGAACTTCTATTGTCTATGTTCACATTTTTATAATATACAGCATCACTTAAAAAAAAACAACAACAACAGTGCCAAATGGCTTGATCATTAAAGAGTTTGACAGTGCTTCAAGGTTTATGTATATGGATTTAACTCTTACTAGCTTTATGGCAGTTTTTTCCATTTCTAACAAAAGTGTGTATATTTTCTAAGGTTGCCGATGTGCAAGGAAAATAAACAAAGAGCCTTGTTCACTCCTCAAGAAAGTCCCAGACGCAGTTTTGGCCAAATGGATTGCCCTGTTCTGCATGAAACTAGTTCACTGGCTCAACCTGAAAAAAGAGGGGGCAAGGCTGTGCATTGCAAATCGAGCTTTTTAATGAAATCCGCATGGCTGCAGTTATTACCAGAGAGAAACACGCTGAAAGGGAAAATATTCCACAACCATGTGCTGCTTACCAAGCATTAGAAAAAGATCTAGGTTAATTTTGCTTTCTCTGTATTTCTTTATTTTATACAAGAATTTGTCAGTTTTCTTCTTGAGTAATTAAACATTTTTTCACTATCAAACACAATCATGAACATAAAGCAATATTAATTTGTGTCACGAGAAAACATTGTTTAGAGTACTATACAGGGTATTTTGGGTTTTCCCTATTTGGTCTTTTTTGGTCTATTGTTTATATTCAGGTTAAGCGTACGTCATTCTTTACATTTAACAAAAGAAAACAGCAAAAGAAACTTTCCTGTTCTAACAAAAGGGGTAGAGAAGTATTTATATGGATAGCTCTCAAACAAAAGGAGTCAAAGTGGTGAGACTCCACTCAGAAATACAAGGTTTTTTCATTTGTCTTGTATTATAAGCTGGCTTTGCATCAAACTGGTCAAAAGATGTTTGGAAAAAGCAAGATATACATTACAGGTCAGAGTACACAGGCAAATGATTATAAAATCATTGTATATTCCAACTTATCTTTTACATTTCTGTTATAATTACCTGCTACAAAATCTGAATGCAAACACATCGAAATAGAAATAAAATACAGTGTTTTTATTTTGCTAAACCTTCCCTACCAAATACCATGGCATCTGCTTTGAAAATATATTTTCTCATATGGAATATAAATATTAACTTCCATTTTCTACTGAATAGTTCGCTTTATAAAAAAAACATTTTTTTTTATTTTAGAAGGCAAGAACAGTTGTTTTTTTAAAGGCACATGCATTCCAATAGCTGTTTTTCCTCAACATTTTCTTTGAAAACATCAGCCTTAAAACAGAACAAAAAACTTTCCTGCTTCAATTCACTTCTCCATCAATTCAAAGAAGTAACGTTCCCAAGAAGCAACTCATGAGTGAAGTTTCTTACCAAGCCATATGGAGTTATGAAAAATTCCATTCTTGTATCCCCATCCGTGAACCTCTTCCCACAGCAGGACAAATAAGTAAGTTAAGATGATCATATCTCAGCTGTAGAGACGTAATAGCCTGTTAGGGCTGCTCAGGGTAAGTTCTCAGAGCAGAGGCTGAAATGTGACTGAAACATCTGGTTTCCACATCTTTTAAATGGTTTTTTTGGACTGTGAGGTCAGCAAGTATTCTCCAATGGCATTTTTCACTGTAGAGTTACACAATTAACTCAGTGTCTGAAGCAAATCCTCTGACTCATTTGCATTGGCAACTCAAACTAAGGATATAGAATCATCATCTACATTTTAAAATTCATCTACTCGGAAAGTGGTTTATTAATTCTGTCTGTCACAGACATTTCTCTATTAGGAAGTTTGTGTAACTTGGTGTAGATTCAGCAATGATTAAAACAAAAATAAAAAACTTCAGTAGGGGTTTTAAGAAAAATCCTGAGTGTATTATTTGCAGGAAATCAATTATGGAGTGTGGGGTTTAGGCTTAAACACTAATCTTGAACTTAATGCTGGTAATGTTACTGTAATTTTCCCCAAACATTGCCAAGCTTGTATAGAAAATTTAAAACAAAGGCGTGTGTAGTTTGGCGAACCCTAAACTGTATCTGGTGATGTAGGATATCTTTGCCTTCTGTCTGTGTTTGGCCTGGGGTTGGATCTGTTGCAGTCTTTGGTTTATTGTGGTCAGCAGGTAAATACATCAGCTTCCAGAAAAGGAGCTCCATTTCAGAGCTTTAGGACATTCCAGCAGCTTTGGGGCACCACAAATTCTTGAAGTTGGAGGAGAAAGATGGATGGGTAGCTAGTCAGAGTTGATAAGAATATGGCCCTAGGTTTCTCCAAACCACTCTAACTTTGAAGATGATCAAAACTAAAGGTAATCATTATTAGTAGTGAAGTCACCATGCCTTAAAATAGCCCAGACTTTCCACTCCTTTTGTGTAGGGTCCCTGGGTCTTAGTGATAGCCCCCCTGCTCTGATGCCAGTGGCATTTCCTGTTGATTGACAGCCATCTTGGGCAACGTTTGCCTCTCTTTCTTAGACGCCATTCTTTGCTCTTTAGTTTTTCTACTCTTGCTGCCAAATTGCTTTCTATTTGCTCTCATATTCATTTCTCTCATGCTTTCTCAGTCCCTCCAGTGATACTGAATCCTTTGAAAATGCCAGCTTTCTGGACTCGCCCTGTCTGAAGTTAGCCTAGAATCCCCAAGGCATCTTGACACTGGACACTGAAGGCTTGTTCTCATCTCTCCTGGAAAGAGCAATTGTGGGGATGTAGTCTGAGGGTACAAAATTCCCTGGATGCTCATTGAGGTATGCATGAAATTATTAGGGTTCGAAATCTCTATTTTGGCCCCACAGCAACAGAGAAATAAGGGAATTATATCCCAGCATACTGACAGGATTAGAGAGCATTAGTTTGGTGCAAAAGAGGACATAGTCTAGACCACGTGGGTGTGACTGTGTAGAACACAGACGTGGTCAGAGAGAAACAGGGTGAATAGATAGTTGGAAGGAGCAAACCATGATATTGCTCTGGAAAGTAGAATTATATGAGTATTTTAAGTTTGTGGTTTAGGAAGTAAATATAACCGAACTTGAGCAAGGCTGCTGCAAAACCATCATGGCTTCCCCATTCTTTGCCTGGTCACATTTCTCTGGTTGTGCCTTCTGCATTTCTTTGAAGTACCTAATTTCCTCTGACTCTCATTTATCAAAAATTAATCTCAGGAAAGGGTTGGAAATTAATCTTTACTTAGGTCAGATAACTAATAACAGATAACCATCTTTGTTTATTTGCATTTTGATGAAGCTCCAAGTCTAGGAAGGTATGAATATTCACTTTGTTTTAACGTGAACATTTAATGATTGCTTTGATGGATTAACCCACTCCAGGTAGAGGACTTCTTTTCCTCTCTCCCAACTCCCAAATGTGCAAATACTTCCCCTTATCTCTATACAGTGTTTGGAAACCCTGTCCTCCCTTTCATCAAGCAAATAGAAAACAGTGCCTAATAGATGTGGTCTCTTGTTTTGAGGGGGGTGTTCATTTCTATTGTGGAAGAAAAGAGGAGGATGAGTCTTTTATATGGAAAAGATGCAAGGCGTATGGGTGGGAATCAAGAGGAAGATAAGAGGGAGAAGAGTAGCAAAGGGAATGGTCTATGAACTTACCTTGGAAGTTGACTAAGATAATTAGGTACCCCCTGCCCAACTCTGAGTGCACACTATCCAGGATGTGTCTGGGGAGCAGAGAGAAGATACACTTCAGAAGCTCCTTTCAAGGGCTCAGGAGACTACCAGTCACAGGCTCTACCTTCTGAGATGAATGCTGTGCCAGACCTGCCTGCCCCCAATCTCTTGATCTGCCCATCCCAATGTGTGCTGTGGTTCCTTTTGCACCTGTCAGTTACTGGCAGAAAACTCAGCAGCACTTCCTTTTTTTTTTTTTTTTTTCAGAAGCGTCTCCCCTTTTACAGTGTTCCAGTACCTATACATCTAAAGAACTACTAGGTACCTGAAAACATGATGGAGAGGGGCGCCTGGGTGGCTCAGTGGGTTAAACCTCTGCCTTCGGCTCAGGTCATGATCTCAGGGTCCTTGGATCGAGCCCCGCATCGAGCCCCGCATCGGGCTCTCTGCTCGGCCGGGAGCCTGCTTCCTCCTCTCTCTCTGCCTGCCTCTCTGCCTACTTATGATCTCTCTCTCTCTGTCAAATAAATAAATAAAATCTTTAAAAAAAAAAAAAAACATGATGGAGAGAACTGCAGATCTGATTTGAGCCAAGACTGTGCTGAACAAACTTGAGATCTTCTAAGCCCACACAGTGGTTTAGTGATGTCACTATACAAACTTAAAAAAATAAGACTTTAAAGTAGAATTTCAGATATCTGTCAGAGGATGAGAGGAGCATATTAAATTTTTTTGGATAAGTGTAGTCTCAGCTGATAGGAAGAAGGTATGGAGAAATGTCAGGTGGATGTGGACTGGGGGAGAAAAGGAAAAGAGGGAAGAGAAATTCCAAGAGATCACATACATATCTGATTATACTTTAAAAAGACTGGATTTGATTAGCAAGACATCGTAGGAAAATGTGATTCTTTGGCCATAGTGTGAAAATGAAAACATTAATTATATCATTTTAGGCGTGTCCAAGTGGCTCAGTTGGTTAAACATCTGTCTTCAGCTCAGGTCATGATCTCAGGGTCCTGGGATCGAGCCCCACGTTGGGTTCTCTGCTCAGTGGGGAGCCCGCTTCTCCCTCGCCCTCTTCCTCGGTGCCCTCCCTCTCTCTCTCAGATACATAAATGAAATCTTTTTAAAAATTATATCATTTTATTGATTATGTTTTTTTTTTAAAGATTTTATTTATTTATTTGGCAGACAGAGATCACAAGTAGGCAGAGAAGCAGGCAGAGAGAGAGGAGGAAGCAGACTCCCTGCTGAGCAGAGAGACCGATGCGGGGCTCGATCCCAGGACTCTGGGTTCGTGACCTGAGCTGAAGGCAGAGGCTTTAACCCACTGAGCCACCCAGGCGCCCCTATTGATTATGTTTTGTAATCTTGGAAAGAGAAAGAAAAAGCAGAGAGAGAGAAAAGGGTGGAGCTCAGTGAGTTACAAAATATGTTAGTGGAGGACATCTTTAAGAACACTTCCAGTAAGGCTGTGAAATTACCTTACAGGAATGCCTTACCCACCCTAAGATCTCCCTATGGTCTAGCATGGGAATAAGGGCAATAATGGGGATAAGGTCATTCCCCTTAGCCTCATTTAAAAGAATTGAAGAGAAACTCTGATGCATGGCATAGAACAAGGTTAAAGAAATAAAATATGGGGGTGCCTGGATGTCTCATTTGGCTAAGCAACTGACTCTTGATTTTGGTTCAAGGTTATGAGATCAAGCCCTGTGTTAGGCCCGTGCTGGGTGTGGAGCCTGCTTAAGATTTTCTCTCTTCCTCTCCCTCTGCCCTTCCCTCCCTGACTCACACACATACTCTCTCTCTCTCTCTCAAAAAAAAAAAAAAAAGAAAGAAAGAAAGAAAGAAAGAAAATATGTGGCATTCCACTCATTCATTCAGTAAATATTTAAGAATCTTTTTTTTTTTCCAAGACATTATTTATTTATTTGACAGACAGAGATCACAAGCAGGCAGAGAAGCAGGCAGAGAGGAGGAAGCAGGCTCCCTGCTGAGCAGAGAGCCTAATGCAGGGCTCGATCCCAGGACCCTGGGATCATGACCTGAGCTGAAGGCAGAGGCTTTAATCCACTGAGCCACTCAGGCGCCCCAATATTTAAGAATCTTTAAGTGAAAGGCTACCAACTTTTACAGAGCCAGTGAGCAGGATAGGGCCTATGTAGAGCAAAGAGAAATATATGAAAAAGTGAAAGATTTCATTATTTTGTATCAAAAGCTTTTAGAAAGTAAATATGACACTGAAAGAGACCTGACATTGGATTTCCCTTAGGTGTATGGTGTGATAGTCATTAGTAATGCCCACTAAGTATTTCTGGCTCTCCACCTTCTGGCAGCGTGTACTGTATGGCTTTCTGGGGTTTGGTGAGGTCATGCAACTGTTTCTGGGCCAAAACGATGTGAACAGAAATTATATATGTTATCTCAGAGCCAAACATTTGATTGCTGCTCCAGAACTCTTTCCCTCCGCATGTGAAATGGTCGCTGCTTCGTCACCTAGATCACTGATCGGTTCCTGATGTTAAGTAGCATGAACAAAACATAAACCTTTATTATGTTAAGTCATTGAGATTTGGGGGTTGTTCATCACTGTCAGCATAACTTGATCTTTCCTGAATTATAGGATGAAGTGAGCATATATGGGTATTAAAGCTAAGGATGATTTAAGAAGGTTGAAAGTCTAAGGACATTCGGATGCAAAGATTAAGACAAGGAGGAGAAAGAGGAAGAGGAGGAGAGAAGAACAAGAAGAGGGAAGTAGAGGTGCCTGGGTGGCTCAGTAGGTTAAAGCATCTGCCTTTGGCTCAGGTCATGATCCCAGGATCCTGGGATCGAGCCCCACATCGGGCTCTTTGGTCAGCGGGGAGCCTGCTTCCTCCTCTCTCTCTGCCTACTGTGATCTCTGTCAAATAAATAAATAAAA